GCATTATGCAAATATTTCCACATAGTGAGGTAGATATGTGGGGCGTGTTTAAACGAGGCGTTTTAGGAGGGCGTGGACCAGTCTTAACTTTTATAAAGAATATCTCTTTGGGTTTGAGACTGTAGTCTTTGCAACTATAGGGATCTTATCTATTCACAAACAGCTTGTAACACTCCAAAGAGAAAGGAAAACTTGAAATCGCATCATATGACCCTTTTAATTTGCCCAACAGTTAAATTATGAATATCTCCAGCTTCTCTGACCCAAGGGTGTGGGCACAACCACAACATTGCAGGCATTTTTTCACGAGCTGTTGCCACAGAGGCTGTTTATTAGGCTCTGGCTGCACTCGAGCAGAAGGCGGAGAAATGGTGAAAAAGTTGAACTGATTTCAGAAAGGCCTTTGAAATCAGGCTGAAAACATTTTCTGTGCTGGAATGGTTGCTTGTGTTTACTCGGAAAACTCTGTGTGTAAGGTTTTATTCTGATGACTGATACTACTGTTCTAGCATTTTTGAAAAGGGTGAGGTATTTAACATTTAGGAAAATGTGCATCAGACTTTTTATCTCATTCAAATCATACTCCAGAGGTATTCAGAATGCAAATGTAGATGTCGCTGAGTTCAAATACTCTTCTGACTTCTAATTGCTGTGATCTTTAAAGAAATTATAGAAACAGGGCCAGGTATGATTTGCAAAGTGGATTTCAGCTGTGCCATTGCTGGAATAAAAGCCAGAGAGAGAGATCACTAATACCTGGACAAAGCTATTCGAAAGCATTCCCATTCACCTCAGTAGCAATTTAAAGGCAGCAAACAGGCTAAAAAAAATTTAATTCAAATTTTTAAAGGCTGTCCAAAACAATTATTGAGTATATTGTAGTGAAATATTTAAAGGGATAGTTCACCCAAAAATGAAAATTCTGTCAATAATTACTATCATCACCTTCGTTCATCTTCGGAACACAAATTAAGATTTTTTTGATGATATCCGAGAGCTTTCTGACCCTGCATAGATATTAAAGGAGCTACCACATTCAAGGCCCAGAAAGGTAGTAAGGACATTGTTAAAATATTCCATGTGACATCAGTGGTTCAACCGGAATTTTATGAAGCTTATGATACTTTTTGTGTGAAAAAAAAAACGAACTAAAATAATCTTTTTTCAACAGTTTCTTCTCTGATGACACATGGACTATTTTAAAGATGTCCTTACTACCTTTCCAGGCCTTGAACGTGTCAGTTGCATTGCTGTCTATACAGCTTCAGAAATCTCTTGGATTTCATCAAAAATATCTTAATTTGTGTTCTGAAGATGAACAAAGGTCTTAAGGTGATGATACACGGCGCAACTTTTTGACCCTTTGTAAAACACAAAGTTGACTTTCACAAACTGTAATATGCACAGATTATCGGTAAACTGTATCAGCTCAATATGGAAGCAAATTCTGAATTTTCTGGTTATACATGTATCATAATTTAATTTCTGCAATCTGATGAATTTCTGATGATTTTTTTTCATTTTACAAGTGCACTATTTAGTTTCAAAATCAGTATGTCTAGAAGTTCGTGAGTCATG